TTTATTTAAATATTTTAAAATTTAAAAAATGTAGATCATAAGCATATTTTTAACAATTTTCTAGGCAAATTTGCCTGAAAAAACTTATAGATTAAGGGATAATGATTATTTTAATTATATTTTTGATTCCATTAATCCCTCTATCTCACCAATATTAATTATCAATCTGATACCAAGTATACAGCTAATACAGTGTATACTGCTGGTAAACCCATTTAAGGTAGATGATTGACATAACCATTTATTCATTACTGTGCCACATTGATCACCTGCTTTAATGAGCTTCTAACACTGCTTACACTAGTTTATCACAAATAGCCTTAGTTTACATTTGATTTCCTGTTTTGGGAATTGATGTTGAGCAAAACTTCTCTGTATATAAAAATATTCTTATAGATAAAAGACAAACTCTTTCAGAAAATTCAATTGGTATTTTGAATTTTATGCATTTTAATAAAGTCGAATAAAAATTTTAAATTCCAAGCATATGTCAATAAAAATATTGATAATTGCATTAATATGTAACCTTGACATACATTTGATGTCCAGGTAACTCTGACATAACATACTTTCGATGTAATTTGAACCAAATTAATCTTTAAAAAAATATCTATGTGCAATTTGTGAGCTGAGTTTTTTAAAACTTTGAACGAATTAATCATAATTTTCAAGAATTAAACTTCATTCGGATTCGTAATTTCTTCCAAATATGATTATGCACCAGATTTTTTGAAAGAACTAAGATTTTTTCCAAGAGTTCATGCTTACCACACGGACTAGTGTGAAAATTTAAAACTTTATGACGTTCGTTCTACCGAATTGATTATATATTTGATATATATATGTGCACATATGTGCACATACGAAAAAAATGACACATATGCACATATATGCACATCACATTTCCAGTCCACTCTAGGTCAGATAAAATAGAACATCGGGAAATAATTACCGATACCAATAATGTTAATAAATTGCTTACATATGTATAGTATTTAATTAAAATTTTCAAAAAATCTTAACAATATAACAATTTATTTATTTATATTTTGATAAGTTTATTTTATACAAATAATATTAATACATTGATAAACGCTACTAAAAGAAAACAATATTTCAGACTTTGAATCTTCAAAGCTGATTTGATTTATTGAAAGTTCAAAAGCCTGAAGCATAGTTTCTTTTAATAGTACTAAAATACAAACGAAAAGCTACCGTTTTGTTTAATATTTTTATATAAGCCACATGCTCTGTGCTTAATAGTCACATACAGAATATTTTGATTTAACAACATGGCTCAGTCTTTTCAAAGTCTTAAAGTATTCGATCTTCGTTGTGTTTGACTTTCTCCAGGAGGTCTGGCTTTTCCAGGATTTCGCCAGAGTTTTCGACATTTCACCGAAGTTTCGACATTTCGCCAGTTTCGACTTTCTCCATTTATCGCCTAACAACAGTAGTAACTACCTTATATTATGTTAGCGGGTTATAAAATTTATACAAAATGAGCATTATATTGGTAGATTAATATTTGACAAAAAATTTCATTTTTGGTTTGGAGGACTCTGGAACCCTAACTTATTTTACTAAATTAACGCGGGTATTAAACAAATATCAGATATCAAAAATAATTATCCCATTTATGTTAGCAATATTTACCATTACACACGCCACTCATTTTTATTTATTCACATTCATTTAGCTAGTTAGCCTCTTTCGAATTGTGAGTATAAATTACGTAAATTCGGGAACATTTACACACCAGATTTAAATAACGATAGTTGCATAAACCTTAGTATTAATTAGTATTGCTTTACCATCGTCCTCGTAATTCCTCATATATAATAAACATTTCAGCTTAGTTTATATAATTTATATGAAGACTATTCAATTTAGTAAAGATATCCTAAAGTAGAATAAAATTAAATTAATAATACTTTCATTGTCAATACTAATATTATTGCATAAAAGATTCGCTTATAATTATCTAAACTTTTGTTAACTATCGCAGCTGAATCAATAATACAAATTTGATATTTACATCCATATGATAGTTACAACGGCCAGACATATAATTTACATCGTGTCAAAATTTCATGCGAATTACATAATAATAAAGTACAATTTAAATCAAAAAATCTGAGACTTATTAATATTCTGCATAATATTTGTGACGATAAAACAGGAATCTGGAAAAATTCAGTGAATGCATACAAAAATTGAATCGGGCTACTGATATTTATGGCTAAGAATTATAATTTTAATATTATTTATCAGGATAGCACTATGGTTCTGGCCTTTAAATAGAGCTAAAGAGCTATACACATAAATGATTAGTACCGGTCACGTTAAATTTTGAGACAGGATTTTAAAAACTATATCGATATACAAAACACTCAATTAAGATATGGTGCAATAACATAAACTACCCAGTATCGCCATAAAAATTCCACCATCACGTGACTATAGACGGCAAATTGACCAATAATGAGCCATGATTTAGTGTAACGTAGCACGATCAGGAAAATTCAAAACAAACGTTAAAAGATCAAAAATTGCACATTTCTCAAAAATTTGAATAAGAAAACACCTTTTGTGCTCTAACAAAAAAAATTCCTTGAGCAATTTTAATATAAACCCGTTAGTATTCAACCTTATTAGAAATGCTAACCCTAACCTAAATGAACTTTAAAGAATTTTTCGATAATCACGTGATAGTAGAATTTTTATGGCGATGCTGGGGAAGATCAATAACATACGTCAAAACACGTGATAAATAGAGTCACGCAGACCAATCAGACTCGTTCCTATATTACGTAACCATATACGATCAAATTATTTTAAAGCCAAAATTGTAACAACTTCATTCACATCATTCAAACATTATGTCTTCCTCGCAGAGTGAATTATTTTCTAAGTGGTCTGAGTCGTTCTATTCAGCAAGACATAAACTTCTTGCTATTAGGCGACAAGAAGGAATTGAAGAAATAAAGCGAAAGGGAGTAATTATTGACAAAGAAGTACCGCTTAAAATTTATCTTGAGTTTTGTAAAGGAGAACCACCCATTTCTGTCAAACACCATTTGATCGACGGAAAAATTGAAGCCTATGAAATGCCTCTCGACCTTCATGGAGTGGTACAAGGAAAGTTAACTGTTATTATGGGTAATTGGAATGATCAGTTGCTGATTTTTGGTGAAATCGATATTATTGTGGGTACGAATAGTGTCTATCATCCTGATATTTGTGTTCGACCAATAAATCGCCGACGACTTCAACTCGCACAAGCAATCAATTCAACGGGAAATCCATACCCAACTCTGGTGGTGGAAATTGGAAGTACCGAAAGCCTAAACCATATGCATGATAATGTAGCAAACTATTTTTCTCAACGTACCACTATACAAATTTATTTTGTTATCAAATTATTTCCTTCTCGCCAGGATGGTACTTTTGCGCTTCTTGCATTGCTTTACCTGCGTAACGACCTAAATCCAACCATACCTTTAGTTGTGAAGTCTTTCGGAACAGCGCCTCTTCACCCTATCACACAAGCGTACCTTAAAGATACTTTGCACGTTCAGGCCATTTATGGTGTCGAGTTTGGAGGGGTTCCCTGTGATGATGCAAATATCCCTCAATATCAAATAGATATTTCGACTGCATTACTTTTTAACGATGTTCTTAGCGGTGTTCCTACTGGTGTACCCGATAATTTTACTATAGATCTATGGAAATTAAAAAAAGTAATTCAGGAAGTTCAGGATAATTAGAGATAATTTAGCTACTGTATTTAGGTGAAATATTATTTTCACAAAGAATTGATTCATTACACCCGCTAAAAATATAAGATTTACATTTATTAAATAAATATTAGCTATAATTCTATTTAATGTTTGTTGACCTTCAGCATTATTGATAAAAAATTTTTATTATGAGTAAAATACTTTAAAATTCTTAAAATTGGAAATTATCCCCACGCTGTATCATCTATAATTGTATAAGACTAATATCTTAACAACCAGCAGACAAAGATCCAAAAACTTGGCCATAATTAATGTTAACAATATAACTAACTTTTCGAGATTTTGACTAGTTTAAGATCATATTGGCATTTATGTTAGGCATATCTGTGGTATGAAATTCTCCAGTTCAAGATAGGGACAAAGAATCACGTGCTAATTTTGTTGGACCAATAATAATAATTATTATTAGGAAATTAGTCAATTCTTATTGCTGGATATGAAATAAATTAGATTCACCACATTATCTCCGGTTAATTAAATATGCAATTCTCTTAGTTCAGTGTAATATACTCTTCTGGCATAAAAAACCTTGGTTTAGCCCATAAAACATATGTTATAAATGAAAACAGAATTATAATTGGTTCCTAGATTGGAACGTAATAACTATACATCTGTACTTAAAACCTAATTCTCATCTTATCTCCCAATCTTAATAACTTTAAATCAACTTACTGTATAAGCGCAAAACAACGTCCAGGTGTGTTATTTCGAATAATAGCTTAATTTAGGCTGAAATTCGACTCTGTGCATTATTTCGCACTTATACGGTAAGTTCTACGTACAACATTTTTAATAGTTAAATATCGATATGCAGTTATTAAATAAGGATAGCTGCGCAGCATTCGATATCTCGCAGAGCCAGTACAATCACAATTTGAATTCCGTTTGATCATATCTGTTCATATCTGTTCGTAATTAAATTCACAGATATCTTTGTGCGTTTTCAAGAATTTCCCTGGGTTTGAGCTATTTTCATAACATATAATTTGATTCATATTAGACCTGTTCATGAATATTTCCTTAATTTGTCTTGTTATTTCTTGTAACAATACTCAATCATTACAATAAACCGTAATAAAGATATCGATCCATATCTGAACAGACTTACAATTCGTGGCTTGTTAAGATTCATAAAAACTGTGTCGACTAAGTCAACAAGACAAGAGATACTGGTTAATAGTTATTTCAAATATTTCAAATAGTAAATAATCACAATACTTACAATTAAACCATTTTCAAGAATCGGCCCTGACACAATTTCCTAGTGATCGAAATATTGCCCAGTATTATAACGAAATCTCATAGCATTCAGTAAAACATCAATAGTAAAAATAATAAGCACCAGCATAGCTGGCTTTATTGTAATTGGCCACGAATATGAATTCAAGAGAGGTAAGACAAAAAAAATTAAAAAGCTCACGACTTACTTTATAAACTGCCAAAGTAATTCGGAAGTTAGATGAGAGGTATGTCTGAACATTTCAATTTAGCCAATAAGTCATAAATATAATATACAAATCTATTAATTTTAGTAATTTGTTTCTGAGAGAGTTATTTTCGCTAATTTATTTTTTTTATTTTTTTATTTATAATCCCAAGACAGGTACCACCAGTAATATAGTTTAGTGAAATAATTTAGTAACAAGTCTAGCAATACGAAGTAATTAAGTATAAATTTGTAAATTTCGAGATTAGAATGTAATGTCACGTTGATTATTTTATTAAGATTATTAGGGTCAAATAGTTTGATGTCAATAAAACCAGCATTTCAATTAAGATTGATTTATATGTTTTTAATGTGTTTTTTTGTACTTCTGTATCTTTATTTTTTTTATTTATATTTTTTTTTAATCCATGTATGTATTTAATAAAGCTCTTGATTTATAGGATCTTGTTTGTGCTAGGCTTATGGTCTTAGATGCTTAATTGTGAGATACAATAGTGATGCTTTATTAAGGCCAATTTAGTCCTATATTGTTACAATTTAGCTTCATATAAAAAATCTTAACGTTAAACGATTTTTGATTACCGATTAACCAATCATATTTTGCAATCACAATAAAAACCCGCTATGCTTCAAGCACCAATATTGCTGTGAGATGCTAATGCCTAATTTCTACAATAGATTAAATAAAACCCTATCAGTGTTTGAATAGGTTTTATTGATCTTAAAACTTTGCAGATACATGAAACATAAACAAAAATCCATAATCATCAGTATAAATGAAAAATTAATAAAAATAAGTAACCTATTTCAAATATTTAATTGTCAAATAATCTCTTTGCTTATCAGCAAATTGGCTTGAATAAGGAACTTATTTCCCGACTAGAGGCGTTCTCTAGCATCTTCTGGATGCAATTTTCTGGTGATCGAAATAACACAGCAATTTAGATAAAAATCAATAGTATAAATTAGGATTCACTTAGGTATCACTCTTGACCCCTATAAAAAATTTAAAAACATACCTCAACTTTTACCAGGTTATCATTCAGAAAATGCTTATTTGTTCTGAAATAATACACATAAATTCTTGATTATTTCTATAAAATTTTGATAATTTCAAATTTTAGAAAGATTAGCAGAAATATTCTAGATAAATGAGCATTTTACGGAATGATATCCTGATAAAGGTCAATGTGTTGTTCAAAACTCTTTATAATTATATAGAGTGAGGTGCTTAAAAATCCCTTCATAAAAAGCTACTCACTAATCAAATTGGTAGAAAAATTAATAAGGAACGGTTGTATGCAAACATTACTGAAAATATTGTAGATTAATTTACTCAATATAACTTACAGGATAGTGTAAGACTTGACATTTAATGTCACTTGCAAACTAATTTGAATGTAAGTGTGAACCCGCAATTCTAAAAATAGATTATTATGAATTCATAATAATCTATTTTTTTTTTTATTGCTTTGCAACACTCATTTGCATTCGCATTACACGACAAATTGCATTTATTTGGACTATGCCGGTGAATAATTTAGGCCGAAGGTTATTTTATCGAATGTTATCAGAAATATGAGAGAAGTGATTGATGGCCAGAATAGCAATGACGTCTCGTGAAAAGTAATCGTAGCCGGTGGTTTCTAGCCACCGAAGCAAGCCGGCTATAGTAATTGCGTTGGAGTTGCCAATCAGAGACGGTGGATTTTTATAGCATCTAAAATAGCGCTATTTTCTTAGTGACGCTATTTATTATTATGTTGAGATGCGAATTTTGTGATTATCGCACTAAACGCATGATTATTACCTTTACTGATTGGTTAAATAATTATCAAAATTTATGAGTCAAAAATATAGTACGTATTGGTATAGGGATATAGGGAACTCATTAATAAAATTGGTTATAATCAATTGATTCATAGAAAGCGTTTTTGACTTAATTTATATAATAATATCACATCGAATAAATTTTTTCTGTAAGATGACAACTCTTTTAATAAATATCCTTAGTGCAAAAATGATTTTTATGAAGACGAAGGAAAATTTTATTGTACTTTTTGCAAATTCTTGTTGGTCATCGTAAATAACAATCTAGATTCATATTTAAAAACTAATAAGCACAAAAGACAAAAACCAATTACTGAACCTGGCGTAATATAAAATCAACAAAATTTAACTATATTTCAAACACAAGTAATAGATAAACAAAGTATTAATGTTGAATTAATTAAAGCTTTTATTTGGATCCTCTTTTGAGTGTAAATGTAGAGCGTTCATTCTCAAACTATAAGCATATTTTAGATGATCGATGGCGGGCTTTTACTGAGAAAAATATTGAAAGGATAATTTTTTAAATTTTAACGAAACATAACTTTAGCGAGGATGGCGTAAATGTTTTTTAAAATTCATAATAAATTTTAGTTTGATAATTTTACTAATTATGCTAATTTTACTAGCTATTTTCGCTAGCTATGACCCCTGGCTCTGTTGCCAATATCTGATTGGTCAATCACTTACAATTGTATTTATACAGTTCGAAAAGCACTCGCATCACTCGATATATGCTATGTTATTTATTTGGACTACGCCAGCCATTAATATAGGCCGGAAGTGAAATTGGATCTTTATTGAAATTTGGCAGAATACATGATGGTAAATTGAGTAGTTGACCGAGACGGCCAGGA